CAGCAACAAATGAAAACTCTGACAAAGGTGCAGCACCACCTATTGGGGATATGGTGCGAGTTGAGTATTACTGTTTCGAGTCGTAGAGTTTCAGGGCTTTTTTCCACACGGGTTTCTGTGGGACTTCCTAATGCAGTCATCAGCTCAGGCATGAACATATTCTGGGGGTCTGAACACAGAATCACAGAATGGCCAGGGTTGGAAGCGACCTCAAAGATCATGAATCTCCAAACCCCCTGCCACAAGCAGGGCCACCAACCTCCCCAATTAATACCAGACCAGGCTGCCCAGGGCCCCATCCAATCTGGTCTTGAACACTTCCAGGGACGGGACATCCCATCACACTTATGAGGAAGTGTAAAACACAGGAAAAAAAAATAATAATAAAGAAAAGTAAGCTAAGGAAAGAGGCGTTTCCAGAAAACAAAAAGATAAGAAAATCAAATACTGTATCTGAGAATGAATGTGAACAAATTGGAAGAACACAACTTTATGGTGAACAGTCACGCTGTCAAAATAAAATAAAATACAACCACAACAACAGCAACAAAACAACCCTGCAAAAGCATATCATACAGAGAAAGAAACGAGTACCACAACTGGAAAACACATGCAGGAGGGGATAACTGCCCTGATGAACAGCACCTACACAGTGACTAAGACTAATACAAGGCACCCTGATCATCTGCCAGCACCTTCCCTCTCTCAAGAGTTGGAAAGACCTTGATTCCAGGCAATACAAAACCATGTAAAAAAAAACATGGAATCATGTTTTGTTGTTGTTTGCTTTTTTCAGTCAACGTCATATCTTTTCTCCATCTTGCAAGTGACTTCCACACCTGCAGCTCCTATACCTGGCAGAGTGCCTAGCCCATGTGTTGTTTTGTGTTTGGAAACTCTGCCTTCAAGTCACAGGCAGAAGACTTTACCACTTCATCCGTCTTACTTATTCTTCCTCAGTGCTGAGCAATGACATAATGCAGTTTTCTAGAACCCCAGAACAATCACTACGCTGATTTTAATGCTGGCTTTCTTTGAACCAAACACAATAATGCCACTGCAACATAACTCCTTAGAAAATTCTTACCATATGCCTGGTAAAAATGCTGTTGTCTTGCTATGAACAGGCCAGAGGCACCAGTCCTAGTTTGTCAGAACTGTGTAACATCTGTGAGAGCTGGCTCTGTGACCTGGAACTTTACACCGGGCTTCTGCAGTGTGTTTTATTGCAGGATAATGGCAAAGGCCTGGAAAACAGGTACCTCAAACCATCAATAACTCACGATCAGCTATTCATTACTGAAAAAGTACACCTTGAAAGCTGGGAAAAGACTGTTTTTATAAAGGAAGAATCAGCTCAGGAAGGTTACAAACAATACAAAGCAACTAGTTAAGCAAGAGGAGGGAAAGAAAGAAAATGGCTTCCTTGCTGAAGACCTCTTGAGTTTGTCTACCATGATGATTATCCACAAACCACAATCATGATCTGAACACACAGCATCAGCTCAGCAGGGCTGTGTACACAAAGCCAGCTTGGGATCAAGTGGTGAGTGCTGGCTGCTTTGCATATGTTGTGATAATGACCAAAAAAGTGTGAGAATAATCTGCAGGGACAACAGCTGTGAGAATGACTCATTAGCATGGGGTGTTTTCTTAACGACTTTCAGTGGCAAAGTTGTGTTTTACATTTTAAAACTGGCATAATTTATCAGTGTTAATACTGCAGTCACAGCAGTCTCCAATCCTTTAAATGGATACACGTACAGATGTAGGTATGTAGATATACATGTGTGCACATATCTATAGCGGTTTGCTTTCATCATAACTTAATTCTGAGCCCCTGCAGGTAAGTCTCATCAGCATCACTCAGTAGATGCAGCCTGACAGCCGTGAAGCAAGGCTGACAACACATCTCCTTTAATTAACATCTTTACCAATCAAAGCCTAAGCTTGCTCAGATGTCAGGTCTTAATATTTTATTTTGAGCAATGCATGTGCATTGTTTTGCTATTCTGAAGCTGGTAGTATCTTCAGATGGAGTAAAACCCTTGTGAGGTATTCAGCTCCAATTAAGGCTGTGTGATCCTGCTGCATTACCAAGCTCTAGCTCTCCGTGCTTCCTTTTGCACAGCGGAGTCATTCCGCAATTCTTTCCTTCTCATACGTCGATACGATCAGTGCGGGATCTGTCTAGGAAGGAATAGAACGAAAAAAAAAGTCAGAAAAGACGAGACAGGTGAGAGCCCCACAGCGCCGCGCACGGACGCCCTGGGAGCGCCGCTGAGGTAATGCCGCCGTCATCTCCCATCACTCCCCGCCGAGCTGCGATTGGCGGAGCTCTCCCTTCGGGCCCGCCCCCGATGCTCGCGGGTTGGACAGCGCCCCGGCTCGCGGATCGCGACTGGCTGATGGCGCCCTTATAAAGCCCCCCCCCGGTGGCGCGTGTTCTCTTTCGTCCCCGGCGTGACAAGGTGCTGCGTCCTTCAGCTGAAGCTAAGGCCGTTCTCCCCCGGCGACTGGCACCGCGCCCCCACCATGGCCTCCGTCTCCGAGCTCGCGTGCATCTACTCCGCCCTCATCCTTCACGACGACGAAGTCACCGTCACGGTGAGTGCGCGGCCCGGGGGCCTTCGCCACAAGATGGCGGCGGGGCCGCGGCATGGCCGGCGGTGCGGGGGAGGCATGGCCGGCCCTCAGCGCCGCTCTCTGTGTGGCAGGAGGATAAGATTAACGCCCTCATCAAGGCGGCGGGAGTGAACGTGGAGCCGTTCTGGCCGGGCCTCTTCGCTAAGGTAGGTGGTAACGAGGGGAGAAGGTTGCGGCTGCTTCGGCGCTGTGCTGCGGGCGGGCGCGCCCCGTGCTAACGAGGTCTCGCCGGTGCTCGTCCTCCCCAGGCTCTGGCCAACATCGACATCGGAAGCCTCATCTGCAACGTAGGAGCCGGTGGCGGAGCTCCGGCTGCGGCTGCTCCTGCGGGTGGTGCCGCACCGGCGGGCGGTGGTGCTGCTCCCGGTAAGTGCGCTGAGCGCCGGAGCTGAGAACGGAGGGACGGTCGCCTCCTGTTGGCTGTGCCGTTTGTGAGACGAGCCAAGGATGCCGTTGGCCTTCTTGGCTACCTGGGCACGCTGCTGGCTCGTGGTCAGCCAGCTGGCCGCTGGCACCCCCAGATCCTCTTTCTCTGTGCATTGGTCGCACTCTGAATCAGTGGACAGCACTGCTGCTGTCTCAGGTGTGAGGATGTCACTTATGCTGACAAAGTGAGCCTGCCCTGTAGAACTTGTCGGGTTTCATAGACTGGTGAAGGTGCAGTGCCATTTCCCTGGTAGCACTGCTTTCACAGTGACGTGAGATGGGACTTGGTAGGGTTGCTCAGGTTGTGCTCCTGGGTGTTACAGTCTCTGAATGTGAAGTCTTTGATAGCGTGACTCCATGAATTGATGGAAATGGGAAGTTTCTGACCACCTTTTTATTTTCCAGCCGAGGAGAAGAAAGAAGAAGAAAAGAAAGAAGAATCAGAGGAATCTGATGATGACATGGGCTTTGGTCTTTTTGACTAAGTAGTTTTGTAACTGCCTGTAATAAAGAACATTTAACTGTATTTTTGTCTCTTAAATTAACGCTTCTGAAGAATAGCTGCATTACCTCTAGTGACAAGACTGGCTGTCAGTGTATGGTCATGTAGGGTTTTACAGCTTGTCCCCATCCTCAGCACTGGCAGGTGTGAGTAACATAGCTCCTACTTTCAGAGTGTGGACAAAGGTGAAGATGTTACCACAGTGGGAAGGGACATGGTTGGGTTTAGCAAAAGTGCTGCTGCTTTGTTATACTGCAATGAGGCTGTAACATCTTGGTGAAACTGGAACAGCCTGTCTGTGCTCTGCAGCAGCATGGCTTCCATCAGGCAACTCACAGAATGTGCTTGCTTAACCTGGTGGGAGCAGCAGGGTTATGTTTCAGAGGACAGCAATTGAGCTCTGGGCTTGGGGAAAGGCAGAAATCTTTTGCTGAATGCTCTTGTTGGGCTGGGATGGAGTAGCTGTAATTTAAAAAGCAGAGGGAAAGTCTTAAAGTGCTCTGGGCTTTTGACTTGCAGCCAACCCAACCCTGGATGTTACACAGAATCACAGAATGGTCAGGGTTGAAGGGACTGCAAGGATCACAGAGCACCAACCTCCCCATTTAATACCAGACCAGGCTGCCCAGGGCCCTGTCCAACCTGGCCTTGAACACCTCCAGGGCATCTGCAACCTTTCTGGGCAGCCTGTTCCAATACCTCACCACTCTCTCTGTAAAGAACTTTCCCTGGCATCCAACCTAAACCTTCCCTAAATTGAAGCTCATGGGGTGTGCAGTCCTTGCTTTTCCAGGAAAAAAAATCAAGGAACATTGCTGAAAACATGCTGCTTTGAAGCACGGGTGTGGAAAATGGTGCAAGTTACATAGGGAAGTAATACTTAAAACATGACTTTACTCCTGAACAGAGCACCTGAGCCAATGTAAGGGTTGTATTCAAGTGCATGTAAGAAACTGCACAATTTTCATTTAATATTCCAGTAAAGTACTGAAAGGAGTAGAAGAGGGAGTTTTGGTCCATGTTTGAACTAGTGGTAGAAATGCTCTGCACTGCCCTGCCTCTGTGCAGAGCTGAAGCCCATTGGGTGCTGGAAGGCACCTCAGTGGCAGCAGTCTGTACACCTCCACTGCTGCTGAGAGCTTCCATGATAACCCCTACAAACCACGTGGCTGCCACCATCCAAGCAAACTTTAAAATAATTTCAGAGTTGTAAAAACTAGCAGAGATATCCAATGACTTGTGCAGCTGGTAACAGCACCTGCCTTGTTCCTGAGCTCTATAATTAAGAGGAAATTGCCTTCTGAAGATGACTTACCTTGGATTTCTTGGGTGCTCACAGCTGTTCCTCAAGTGAATTGACAGTAACAGATAAAGCGGAACTCACCATTGCTTTGCAGTGTGTGTGTACACAAAAATACAGTCAGAATTTCACTGGTAACACCTTTTTAATAGGTCAAAGTAACTGTACAGTTCATTATATTCTTCCTGAGAATAATTTATATCCCTCAACAGCAAAAAGGGAGTGTGGTTTTTATTTTAACAGAACAGATGGCATAATTGGAAAACCAAGGAAAATCTAATTACACTGCTCTACTGTAACTCCTCCCAGGCAAGACAGACAAAAGGATGGGTTAGTTAACTACAGGGGGTTTAAAATATTCAACATGGCTTTAATCTGTCTTTATAAATTATATAAAAACGGGGGACATGAATGGTTACAGGACTCCTCTTAAGTGCAGCTCTGAGTTGCTCTGGTACAAAGCAGCATTTTCGCTTCCAAGGAAAACAACATTGCTACAAAAGAACTGGCACGTTATTCTGGTGAAAAAGAAGAGTTTTCCGTTGTGTCCTACAGCTAGTTCCAACCAAAGGCGTCACACATTCACATAAAAGTAAAAGGCAGGAAGATGAAGAGGGCTTTAGTTTGTCTTGAAATGACTGACGTCTTGAAAATATAGCTTTTTATTTTCTTTCTCTGTAAATTGTGATTAGCATATTGCGACGTAAGTGTTCTAATAAAAAAAATTCCAGTCTGGATAGTTCATATACTGTGGGCAAGAATTCTCAGCCCTGAGGTTTCCCAGAATTCTTCACAATATCTCGCTCCGCTCTGCTGCTCCAACAGTTCTGGCTCCAAAACTCCACCCCAGCTCTGGGCTGAACACGGCCCATGCGATGGAACGAACCGCGCTGCTCCAAAGCCGTCATTTCCCAAGGACGTCTGTACAAACTTCACCCGGTGATACAGCCGCTTTCTGAATCCCAGGCCAGCTTGGCTTTGTGAGAAAAAAAACGTGGTTAACCTTTTGTAATGGGAGAGAACCAACAGCTGTCAGTCAGGGCTGCTGAAGCAAGAGGCGCTGGAATGCCAGGACCACACTGGGTTAATCCTCACTGCTGGTGGAAGGTGAACTAATCCTTTCGCAAGCAGAATTCTACAACAGACAGATGAAACTCTTCCCTTGGTGCTTAGTGCGGCCTCGACTGGCTGATCATTTTCAGCCTGGCTTGATCGATGACATCCAGCAAGTTCTTGGCATCCACTGCCAGAGCGTGAGCGGCTGTCAGCATTTGCTTCTTGTACTCCTGCTGCAGGCTGGTCATGACATACTGCTGGGCCAGCTTCATCTTGTTAATGAGCTCAGCCAGGTCTGAGTTCAGCAGTTTCTGGGCCATCTCAATCTGGAACAACAAGAGTGGGTCAGCCACACAGGTTGGTAGCACTGTTTCCCACCCCAAGGAAGAACATCACCTCTATGAAACCTGACCAGCCTGAGAGTTTCCCTTCAAGCTGGAGTCAGCATGTGGGCTGGCGACACTTTGTACTCAGACACCAAAAGCTGCCTCAGTAGCTACAGAGCCACCTGTCGCCAACCAGACCACATCACCAAGTTTTAATTCAAGTTTAACTGTTAACATGTTGTGCTGGGTTTCCAGGTTCCTATTACCATCACCTTTACTGCCATTGCTATTATTAGAATTAAAGCAGGTACAGGTTATTAATAGAGCAAAGCAGCTGAAGGTGGTATGATTCTCTAAGACAGCGCTTCATAATTCTCTGGCCTTCTCATTACTACATTCATTCAAGGCTTTGGAGGAAAAACAGGTTTATTCCCAACTCTTGTCAACTACACTGAAAGATCCCAGTCATTTCTTATTCCAAATGAGGTTACTACAGGCTATTTTCTCATTCAGCTGCACCACAACATGTTCAATTACCCACACATTTAATGACTTTGTGTGCAAGATGTATTTCAAGGAAAACTGGAGTTGTACTAACACCCAGATGGTCTCCCTGCATTACAACACTGGGTTCATGTAAGTACTACTGACAATTTTTATTTAAAATTCTGGTATGTACACGTTGTATGCTCCCTCATCCAGTCTGAGCATTTTGACTCGAGGCAACAAAAACCTACATCCACACAGCAATGAGATTCTAATGACATTAAATTAATAAAAAATTATAATTAAGAGTTCACAGTGTTTACTGAACACAAATATACGTGTGTGCAAAGAAGAGAGAGCCCGAACGCATCCACCTGGCTGAGGCCAGCTCAAACTGCAGAGATGAGTGGGCTCTACTCACCTCTCTGTGGGTGCTTGCAGGAAGCACTGGCAGCGACTCATCCACTGTTGCTAGCAAGGTTCTCAGCGCCAAGCCAACCTCCTAAGGAGAAAAATGAGTAAGTAAGGAAATAACAGACACAGGACAACCCAACAGGACATCTCGGCCTTGATTCAGTCGCCCCTCTCACATACACTGACGACATACATCAGAATATGTAAGCATTCTGAACTAATAAAAACTTGGCATGAATGGAGTTAAAGCAATGTTGCTGAGTGACTTTGAATCACACAATCACAAAGGCTGGAAAGGACTACTAAGATCATCTAGTCCAAACACTGACCCCTCATCACCATGTTCACTGTGCCCCTCAGTGCCACATCTCCACGTTTCTTGAACACCTCTAGGGATGGTGACTCCCTGGGCATCCTGTTCCAATGTACTACCGCTCTTTCTGAGAAGGCATTTTTCCTAACACTCAACCTGAACCTCTCCTGGCGCAACTTAACTGTTACTTCTTGTCCTATCCCCGTGATCTAGAAGAGGCTGATCCTCACCTCACCACAGCCTCCTTTCAGGCAGCTGCAGAGAGCAATGATGCCTTCAAATCTCCTCCAGACTAAACAATCCCAGTTCCCTCAGCCGCTCCCCGTGAGACTTGTGCTCCAGATCCCTCACAGCTTTGCTGCCATTCTCTGCACACACTCCAGGGCCTCAATGTCCTTCATGTAGTGAGGGACCCCACCCACAATTCCCTGTTTCACAGCATCAAAACAGAATGCCCAAGGCTGGATTATAAAAGTTCCTTTTATAAGCAAAATGCAGCAGTGTTGCACAACTTCCTGTTAACAAGAACTTTGTCATTCATGAGAAAGATGAAACCATGTTCAAAATGGCATCCCTACCTTTACCATGGGCACGTACTCCTCCGGCGGAGCTGGCTGTATTTTACTGGACATCTCTATGACAGCTTTCACCAGCCCGGTTACATTCTCATACACTTTGTCATTGGAGCGGTCCAGGTTGGCCGTAGGAGGAGGGCTGATTTCCTGCGGCTTGATCTGGAAGCAGAGACAGATTGTTGAGCCTCCTGTGCCCAGCAGATGGGGCTCAGCAACCTCCCAGCCTGCAGAGATCACCAGAAACTGCCACCCCAAGCCCGCTGAGCACATTTGCTCATGGGTCTGAAGGAAGTTTCCTTCAGGCTTCCTGACAGCCTGATCTCTGAATGACTCTGAAGAGTCTACCAAAAATTCTCTGAAGAGCTCCCAGTGCAACTCCCACAGCAAAGAAAAGTTGAGAAAGGAGTATGGAATACCTGTCGTATCAAAATGGTTCACTACTGATGGACAAATTCTATTGCAAGACAGCGGGGTGTCATGTCCCTTGTTCCAGGAAGTTGCTTTCTCCACTACCACTGCATGCCATGCCCAAGCAATCACTTGGGGGAGAGGAGGATTAAGAAATTGCCCATTGCCTTATTGGTCACACAGTGGCCCTACAGATCTGGGCTGGGCTCACAGCATCACAGCCCCACAGATGCAATAACCATGGGTTCCCATAACTGGTCCCTGCTGCAGAGACGCTTCACTGGAAGCAGTCGAGACTCTACACAGTTGAAAGCACAAAGTACTTGGATGAGACTCTGTCTAAGGAAAGAGTGCAGGATTTGGTGCAGAGTTTCCCACTTTTTGCATTTCACCGATTGGTTACTGACAACTGTTACAGAGATTCAATCTGTCACATTGATTGGAAAATACCTTAGGAGAAGGAACATTGCAATTGCTGCGATCAGCAGGGAAGGGCCGTGATTCTAATTGGTTTCAGCAATCAAGAAGTTAGGAGAGTCATCTCGCAAAGTCGCATGCAAAGACATTTTGGAATGGGGCGCGCACACACGCTCACGCACTGCTTACCCTCCATGGCTATTGTTGAGCAGAATGTGGGGGAAGGTTAAAGAAATTTACCAAAAGAAGGGAAAAAAGAAAAACAATATTAATAAAACTCAGCAGGAAAAAAAAACCCACAAAACAACAAACCAAAACATGTGTAGCAATAAGAGACCAGTTAAAAAGCCTGCAACAAAAACGCATCCTCAACAGTATCCGCAGTCGTTTGGGTTAGCTCATGGTCCGTCTGTAACAGAAGCACCATGTGCTGACAACTGCTGTGCACCCGCGTAGAAGTGGAAGTGTTTGCCATGCACCCATGCTAACGTTTTACTGAACACATGGGGAAGAGATCATGCAAAGCTTGACAGGAGCAAGCCAGTCTGGCAAGGAGCAAAGGGGTGAGTGGAGCAACGGGCCTCTGCAACAGTGGGAAAGGTGTCCTGTGAAACTCTGCTCCCTATACAACATTAGGGATCTGTCACAATTGGAAATATGAAGTCATGTAACTGTGCAGCCCTTGCAACTGATGACCAGCCACACTCATGGTTAAGAGCTACTAAGAACCCACTCTAGATGCATTCTATTCAACCTAATAAATTCCTATGGCCAGACCCCAAAATTTCAGAGTATAGACATCAACGTCCTGTTCTTACAGCTAACATCAACATTACTGCAAGCTTCCATTTCAGGGTTTTCTTTGTGTGGGCTGGCTGCCTTGGCCTCAGCAGGTAACACTGCACTACCTTCTTCTTGGTGCCCTACAGCTCCCTGAGGGTAGCCAGGTCAAAACCTCTGATTTTCATTTTTCTCCCAGAAAAGAGAGAATAGAGTCTGAAATGAACCCCAGAAGCATCTTCAGTTAGTCTGCAGACACTAACAAAACTACAACCTATTAAGAATTAATGAGCTGTTTTCTTGACAGGGTGTAAGACCATCCAATTTCAGAAAATTCTTGACAGAAAAGTAGGACAAAATCAGAACTTCTCCACTTCCCAAGAAGTTATTAATACATAAATCTTGCTCACACTGATGACTTTGGTTGCTCAGGTTTGTTTGTTGTCAAAAGGATGTATTTCAGAAAACATCTTCATGTTCTAATACCAGTAGTTAGAAAGGAAATTTTAGAGTAGCCACGTTCAGTAACACATCTGTTGCTGCTTTTTCATATTATCTGAGGCTTGGCAGCTTGAAATGCACTGGTTTGCAATAAATAATCCTGCTTGAACTTGCCAGTGCTGATTCTTAACTACTCAGATGATCTCCAAAAAAAGAGAGCACGAGTGAGACAGGCAGTGGCTGAAGGACTGATTTGTGCTGAACACACTGCTGTGATGCAAGTTGTGAACTTCACGGCCTGAGGACCTGGACACTGTCTGTATTTTCTTAAATCACCTAAACTAAGTGTCACCTACCCACCTACCACTGTATCTGTTCCTACCACGATGTGGAATCCAGTTCTTTGTTACAGGCAACAGAACTGCTATGAGTATTTATCAGCTGCATTTTTGTTAAGAGTGCTACTGGCACAGAAGCCCCAACCACTACTGTATCTACCTGCTAAAAACAGCTAATGACAGAAACAGCTTCTGTGGTTCCACTCAGGAGGCCCTGAGGTCACTCATATTTCTATCTCCTTAAGATTAGAACAGTAAAGGAATCCCAAAGGCAGGGAACAAAACCTGGGTGCATCACTTTAGAAGTGACTGGCACACTAAGGACGAGTCCTATTGACACCAGCTGTAACAGCAGACACAGCTTCACAGCACCCTGCAGCCTCTCTGCTAGAGAACTCCTCGAAGATTAATTTCTGGATTTATTGCCTATTTACTGGAGATGAGACAACACATCAGAAAGCCAGTTAGGGTCAGAAAGTGTTTTTCCTCTGTTCTTACTCCCTACAGCCAGCAGGGCTTTAGGAGTCTAGGTGCTGCAACAGCAGCTTTCTGAGTATGGGGATCTTGAGTGTGCTCTGTGCTCCTTCCTCTGAGCAGAACTATGTGAGAGACATCATATGCTCCTCAAACTACAGTAAGCTTGCCTGAGAAAGTTCTGAGTGAGGAACACGCTGAATCACTCACAGAGGACACGGGCAGAGCAGTTAATTTCCCAATTCCCACCGCATGTTCGTACCACAACGTTTACTTGGGAAGTTCAGTCACTTCTGCTTTCTGTGGTCTCTGTTTGAGCTGAACTATGCCTACAGGGTAATGTTTTATTTCCTGAAATGTGTTTTGTGTCACTGAGCACCATACCTTCACGCCTTCATTGTAGCTGTCCACAGGGCTGTTCAGGCTCGCGAGGCTGCCCAAGTGGGGGGCTCCAGGGCGAGGGGGCTTCTTTGGTGGAGCTGCATGATCTGGTTAGCAAAACAAGTGGCATGTCAGAGCACCAACATATCACATGTACACAAATCACTGCAGTCTGTCAACATTACAAAGGCTATGCCTGTTTTACTGTAATGGTAGAGGAGATGTGTTGCACAGAAGACCCATTGTTCGTACGAGCTATGCGTTGTTTCTAATCAGGAAAAGCAGAGACAAAAAGGTGTTATGTGGAACTCATCCATCAATGAGTTTTAGCAAGGTACTTCGATAAGTAATCTCTCCTAGTGAGATTACTGCTCAGTCCTACTAACTCAGTATGCCCAGCCTACACCTAGAGGAGCTCTGTACTACTCTGCACCACAATGAATGCCCCACATGCTGCCAGAGTTCAAGGAGTGTTTGGACAATGCTCTCAGACACATGATCTGATTTTTGGGTGGTCCTGTGTGGTGCCAGGAGTTGGATTTGATGATCTTTATCGGTCCCTTCCACCTTGGGATATCCTATGATGCTTCCTGGCTGAAATCCCAGCTGTGACTCACTTAGACACCTGAAGTTTCAGTCTCAATCTGTGTTTTGCATGTCAGAACTCCATGCACGGTGGAGCCCTACAATGTGATTCAGCCTCGTCTAGACAGTTCCTGACTGCTGAAACACTTCCTTGGATTTGCTGACTAATCTCTGGGGACTGCGTGGGGAATTTCAGACCAGAACACCTTTGTGCAGTTATCCATAACCGAAACTACCCCCTTGTTTGGAAATCTTGGCATTTGCTCACTATTAGTGCTCAAAGACGTGTAACCAAGGATTCAAGATAACATTATATGAACTTCGTGCTTACCTGGTTTACCCACAGGCTGATATATGTGCTGGTTACCAGCCTGTAAGATAAAACATATATTTATAGCAGTTACTACAGTGCTCACAATTTTGCTAGCAAATTCTTACCCACTGAAAAATGGCAGATCTCAGCACGTTTCCCAACAGTTAAAAATACCTCCCTATGCACCATCACTACCTATGAATCCTAACTGCAGTTATATACAATTATACAGTAAAGAAAATATTTTCACTTCTTTTGTATTGCTCATGACAGCCTAAGCCTGCACACAACACTTTATCCTTCACTGTTACTCAAACATGCTGGCACATTCATAGCAGTTTTTCTTCTTTATTCAGAGATCAAACTGCAGAAGTCACAGTGCTGATGAAGGAATTGGAGAGCAGCAATTAGAAACCTAAGGTATTTCTGCACGGCTGAATAGCATCAATAATGGTAACAAGCTTCTGAGCTGTGAAGCTCTTAGTCAAGGTCAATTTGCTTATTCATTTGGAAATGCTTAATGCTAGATTCAAATGACTTTCTTTGCTAATTACATTTATCCCACCTTCATGCCAAGAAAAATGAAAATCTAGTCACAACCAAACGAATACCTTACACAAAATTTGTCATGTCACAAAACAACGTTACAAGTCACATTTCATCATGCATGTGTATCTGTGTAACGGAGTTTCCATTACAAAACAAAGCTCTGAAGGCAGATAGAATTTCATGTTTCTCATGGCAAGACGTCTCAAAAAGGCGATTTTTAAATAAATACAATTTTCTGCAAATCAGAGTACTTCCTTCCACCAGGATCTAAAGAAGCAGCTTCTTCAACACATTAATGATAATTTTCCAAAAACTTAAGAGCTTACTGTTAACAGTATGAGAACACAGCAACTGTTTCAGCTTGACTTCAGCTCTGGAGAATGCTGTCTGAGAGCGTTAACTAATTAACTTTACTTTCTGACCTTTTAAGCACGTCTTTTTGAACCTTATTCTATTTTCAGTTACTCAAACTGCAACATCAGTAGGACATTCTCTATCCCTGGCTCACCTCTTCAGTAACAAACCTAAAGGACATTCACAATCGTAGTTCAGCTTTTATTCAAAGTCTCAGCTGGACTTTTTTAGAAATTAATGTTCCTGTTTCAAAACTACAGAAGATTTGACAAGGCTGCTGTGATTAGGTTTACCTAGCACTTTAGGAAGCTGTTTTCAGCTGCTCAAAACTTTATCAATTTTTTAACTGTGTGAACTGCAAGTCCCAACTCTAATTCCACGTCAAGCTCAGTTCTATCTATATAGAAAACTGCAGCAAGAGGCAAAACTTCCAGCATGTGGGCTCACAGAAGAACGTATTGCACAGGGAGAGTTCTGGAGAAAGACAATAAGGAGTTCTTACAAGTTTGGTAGCAGGATATTCAAAGCTCCAAGTCCTGACACTCCTCTGCTGTTCCCACGTCTCTCTGGCCGCCATCTCACACACTGCCCTACCACCATCAACCTTGCTCGTGTTGCTAACCTAGCTATTCCAAACCTGAGAACCCTGGGGAGAAGAGATGGGGCGAAAGGAAGGAGGCTTTGTTCCACTGAAAAAAAAAATCATGATGTTTACTTCCAGAATGAAAGAATGTTGAAAGAATGCGAGCAAAGTTATACACTGCTTCTTATTTCACATCTCTCAATGCAGAACTGAGATTGACTCACAGGCTTACCTCTTAGGCTGCCCCATGTGGAGTCATGAGTTGGACTTGATCCTTGTAAATCCCTTCCAACTCAGGATATTCTAAGCAATGGCATTTCCAACACCAGATGAACTCAACAGTTACATTTCAAATGCATTAAGAATTAAAAAAATGCAAACACAAATTCTGTAACTGAACTAAGACTCTCTCCTGCAACTCATTCTGTCAACAGTCCTCTCGTTCAAGAGGGGCGAGTCCTATCTCATCTGGCAATACAGGACATCCCCTTACAAGCAGTTTGGGATGCAGGTTTTTACTCTAGTCCCAGGCAAAGAAAACTTGCTCGCTGCCTCTTACATCAAACCTCTGACATCACCTCAAGTTATTCTTGCAGCACAAAAAGCAGTAACACTTCACTCATTCTTATAGTAAGATGCAACAGCAGTAAAGACCTAACGGTAACTGACAGTCTGCTCCAGATTCGTGCAAAAAATCTTAGCAGCTTCCAAGCATGAGTAACCAACTCCCAGAGACTGTATCGCAGTGTGTGCTTTGCAAATGCAAGAAGAGTCCCTAAACTCTCCTGTATTGAAGAAATACTGAAGTCAAACAGAATTACAGCCCAGATGACCAAGGAAAGTAAAATTAAGACATCAACTTCCAAGAGAAGCTTTGAGGGTGATCCCTGGAGACCATCACTGGATGAAGCACTGATTTTCTGCCCTTAACGGTCCCCAGCCTGACCCCCGTTTCTATTGGTATGATTCAGAGTTTCCAATGGCAATTAAACAATTGGAGAGATGTTTTTATTCAAACAGGCAGCAGTTATGGCAGCAAGAATGAGCGCCGCAGCTGTTGTCTGACAACAAAGGAATGGCTGTGGGGGTTATTCCATTTGTTTCACTGCGGATCATTTACTCTAAACAGAGTTCTGAGTAACACAACAGTAACATTTACATTCCTTGTAGAGAACCCTTCAGATATTTAAGCAACTGCAGAAGTTATTTTAACCCCGCTTCCTGTTGACAGAAGTTTCAAAAAGCACTTTTAAATAAAAGGCCAAACCATACATCACAGGCACCTTCAAAAATAATTGCAACATATTTGCAGAAACACTGCAGTATTGTTTCAAGGGGGAAAGAAACAAAAAACAAATCCCAAATCCATCCAAGTGCTGCATGACCAAAGTCTGCCACTGTTCTCCTGTTCCCACAGAAGCTGAGCTTCTTGGAAAGTTGCAGAGCCATGTAATGACAGTGGAAACATTTAGCAAAAACTTTAAATCATCTCCTGTAATAAAAGACAGCACGTTCTACCATGATGCTGGAAAAGGGGCCAGGAGATGAAAGGATCCAACAGATACTCACTGGGCCCTGGAGACCTCCATCCTCCCGCTCGATGCTGCCTCTGGAGAGCCGCACATCAGGTTTCTGAAACACAAATCATAAGATCTTAGAATGGCTTAGGTTGGAGGGGATGTTAGGGATCACTGAGCTCCAAGCCCATGCCGTAGGCTAGTTGCCACCCACCAGGTCAGGTTAGCCAGCACCCCATCCAACCTGGCCTTCAATACCTCCAGGGATGGGGCACCCACAGCTTCTCTGGGCACAATTTCAGCCCGTTCTCTGCTTACAGATTCACGCAACCTAGGCACAAAACATCTCAAAGACAAGGCTATTGAAAGATGAACACTGCCAAGCACAAATGTCGCTGCATCCGTTGTGTTTCTGGAACAACAGCTCCCCAAGGCTCCCAGCAGACTCCCAGACTGCACGGCCATCCATTCTCAGCACACGAGTGAAAAATGCTATTTATAAATATTGTCAGTACCATTTCCCTAACACAACACTGGAAAACTTGGCATTTTCTATTTTCTGAAAGGCAACAGAAGTTGTTTTTTTAAACAACTGTTCTCCTCCCAGCAGCAAAATTTCAACCACAGGATGAGAAATGCTGTGAGTTAATTCCCGCTTCCTGCTCGGAAGGCTTCTCTGTACTTGGCTCCCTCTGGAAGGCTGCAAATGGGGCCCAATGACAGAGCTCTGCACACGCTGCGTGGATAGGGAAAGCTAATGTAGATGCCCAGATGCACAACTATCCTGACAGAAGTGACAAATAGATGAGTTTGTGTTCTGTCTGCTTTAAGTGACAGAGAGAAATTTGGGGCTTGTTTTAAAATGGAAAACTAAGACCACCCCAACTTTTTCTTGGAGAAACCAGCCATTTCTCTCACCTCCCACCAATACCAGGTGTATTGCTTTTATTCTTATGTAGGAAGAAAAAGGAAGAGCTGATATGAAATACAGGTTCATGCTGGCCTGAAGACACAAGCCGAACAAAACGAAAACTAGCACAGAAAAGCAAACTTATGTTCTTCAGGTTGAATGTTAAGAAAAATGTCTTTGCAGGAGAGTGGCAATGCATTGGCACAGGCTGGGCAGGGAGGTGTGGAGTCACCATCACTCGAGGAGTTGAAAAAACGTGGCGATGTGGCACTGAGGGCCATGGGAAGTGGGTTGGGGTGGGTTGATGATTGACTGGATGATCCTAGTGGTCTTTTTCAACCTGAATGATTGTGTGATTCAGGCAACAGATAGCACACACTTCTGTATCGGTGTAAATACAGCCTCTGACATATATCTGAATGTATACACGCATAAAACGTACGCACACAGAGAACAAGACATTTAGAGAAATGCAGACAAATATTGACTGTAACTAAGCTCACTCCACAACTATGTGCTCTCAGGGTCAGTTTTAGGGGACAAATGTATTTGTTTCTCATTGAAAGCAACTCAAGATCCCCTTCCTTCCTTCTTTCTAAGAACACTACAGAATAATTCCAATTCACGTACCCTGCTAAGTGATCCTAAAGAAACAGCAGGGTAGGCAGATCAATAACACTGACACTGATGCCTTTACAAACACTCAGATCGCTCTAGCAGTCTGTACGAAGGGCTTATTCTGTGCATTTTCATTCAGTCTTCTGCAGACTGAGCAAGGCACAGTCAGACTCACTGCCTGAAAGAACTTGCAGATTAAAAATAGACAAACCAAAGCAGACAAGGCAACATTTAACCCCTCCTTAAGCAGGAAGAACTGATGCAGACAAAAGCAAGCAATTTGCTCAATGCTTCTCTGAGAATTTGTTACAAATTCTATAGTGAAACCTACCTGGACAAATTCTCTAGTTTATTTTCTTTATTATCATGATAATTTTTTTTCTTCCTGAAGTCTCATTTGACATGGATATGTCAGACAGTTCCACAGATGTCCAGTGAATTGTGACACTCAGAATAGGTCTTAGCTGAAGTAAATAGCTATTCTTACTTAATTTCTATTACACTGATGTTCACAATTCGTCTTTATTTCACTTCAATTTCTAGCCAGGAATTGCCCAAAGTCTTCGGAATTAGCTGAAGATTAATTCACCCTAGGGGTCATGCTTGCACTTTGAGCAATTAACTCCTCCAAAAATACACCCTAAACCAGATTAGCCCAACAAAACTCTATTGGACTGCCCTTATACAAACGAAGCCATGGAGAGCACTGATGCTGTCCAGGTTATTTCCAAAAATGTGATTTGAAGATGAAGAAACCCAGTGCCCTTGGATGCAGGAGCAGTTTGTACAGCTCCACAACCCACCTGCATCCCAGCGATCTGCACATCCACGCTGCAGGAGTAAAGACAGAATCCTTAGTGCTACCACTCCCAACTTCTCCAAACGCTTCTCTCTCTGTCCATCAAAACCCAACACAAGGAAGAAGAGAAATACTCAACACGTCTGTGACCAATGACTAACAAGAGGCCCAAATGTCTAACATTAATTAGTTAACGATATTCCAATTTATTCATTTGCTAAACTATTTTACACTAAAGGAGGTATCTCAGATCAAACACTCTTTGTATTTTTAAACATCACAGAATGGCCTGGGTAGGAAGGGACCTTAAGCACCATCTGGTTACAACTTAATAACAACTCTTCCACTTCTCAGTGGATAGATTTTTAAACGAGTAATATACCTTTCACAGTCAGGACAGGAGTTATTAATTTAATGTCAGCTCCTGATGCTGGCACTACACTGCAATGTGTGGGTGAATTCTTAGTACCAAGCTTCCTCAGTTCAATGCCACATTTCAGGGAAGAACCATATTTCATTAAATTCTTGCAGAAAATCAAAGCCCTGGAAAAGTAAATGGACTCTTCTATTTTTTGTTTTTTTCCTAATAAGTACTCTGCTATCTGAAATCTTTGGAAGCATCAAGGGTGCTTTTCAGACAGGACGCATACATTCACAAACTGGAACACAATCCAGATTTCCAGTGTTCCTGGTCACTCACTAATAAAAGAACATGTATGTCTTGGCATTCTGAGGACATGCCAAACTGTAATCTCTCGATGGGAATTTCTCAGGCTAAAAATTAAAATCTTATTTTAGCAACAGTTCACATCAATTATATTTAAGCTGCAGTTCTCAGTGTCAAAACAAGACAAATACTAAACCACAGCTATGTGGGAATTTCAGAAAAAAAACAAAACCAAACACGATAAGGAAACTATGTAAGTTATTTCTTCTGAGCATCCCAGGAAAGAGCTATAAATTCCCAAGCATAACACTGCTCTATCTGCTGAGGAGTTACTCAAAGGCATGAGCACATACATCTTTGTTGTATACAATGGGAAGCAATGCCAGATACCATCAGCACAACCACAACAGAAAGGTTCGAGTTGAAAACTAAATTGAAATGGAGAAGCAGTTCATCAAGGCATCCTAAAAGAGGAAAAGCACTCTGCAAAATGTCCAGAGACAGCTACAGTGCAAAAAGCTACAGCAACAAAATCATCAACTTCACTACACTGCTGAACTGAGGAGGTCATCCTGGACATTTTCTGCCCCACAACCCCTGATATGCAAACTAACAGCCATCAATTATACAGGCTCTTGTGCACCATCACCACCTCTGCTTTCCTAGCTGTGGTTAGGGACGATTCTCCTCTTGGGTCAAATTCCATATTAAAATAAAGAAGATATACTTTCCTAGAGGCAAATAAAAATAAAAGAATCAGCTTCTGCCAGTTCCAGATATCTGTTAAAACATAAAAATCAAAGCATTCTGAAAGGGCTTTTTAGAAATTATTTTAGCTCAATGAATGCACTGATTTGCTTTTAAATTGCTTCTACATGTGAGAAATCAGGCAGATTACGATGTACATACCATGCCCTAGCAGAGTAATTCAATGTTTCAGTCCTGATTTGCTGTGTGCACGCACAGCGTATGCTTTACATTAAGCACAAGCACTACAGGATGCATGCCAGACTGTGCAGTAATAGGCCAAATATTTCAGTTCCAGTGAGCTGCGAAGGCCAGCACTGAAGAGTCCGTTTGCAATTGTAGGGCACTACATTTGGGGATGGAGGTTGCTCATTTGGCTTCTACATGCTTTGCACTGGGTGTAAAGCTTCAATCAAACTTTGTCAGTTTTACTTCTTGGAGTGGAAATACCCACTGTGATTGCAAAATGACTCAAGAGAAAGTGCAGAACGAGAGCTCTGTGTGCTTCTTGTATGAATGAGGTAATCAACCAAACACCATCGGATATAAAAGATGATGAAAATCTCGTGGATTGCAGCACCTGGAGAATTGCAGCAGCAAGATACCTTACACAAGTATCTTATTGGAGAGAGCTGTTGGAGAGGGTCCAGAGGAGGGCTACTAAGATGATCAGATGGCTGGAGCACCTCCCTTATGACGACAGGCTGGGGGAGCTGGGCTTGTTCAGCATGGAGAAAAGAAGGCTGTGGGGTGATCTCACTGCAGCCTTTCAGTATTTAGAAGGGGATTACAAGCAGGAGGGGAATCAACTGTTTACTTGGGCAGATAGTGATAGGACAAGGGGGAATGGTTTTAAGCTCAAGGAGGGAAGATTTAGGTTGGATGTCAGGGGGAAGTTCTTCACAGAGAGAATGGTGAGGTGCTGGAACAGGCTGCCCAGAGAGGCTGTGGATGCCCCATCCCTGGAGGTGTTCAAGGCCAGGTTGGATGGGGCCCTGGGCAGCCTGGTCTGGTATTAAATGGGGAGGCTGGTGTCCTGCCTGTGGCAAGGGGGTTGGAACTTGATGACCCTTCAGGTACCTTCCAACCCAGGCTATTCTACGATTCTATGAATCACTTATCAGGGGTTGTGGGGCAGAAAATGTCCAGGATGACCTCCTCAGTTCAGCAGTGCAGAGAAGTTGATGATTTTGTTGCTGTAGCTTTTTGCACTGCAGCTGTCTCTGGATATTTTGCAGAGTGCTTTTCCTCTTTTAGGATACTACTTCACCGCAGTAGTTTCACCTCTCCACCTATATATACCTCAGAGAGACAGCAACTTCTAAGGTCACCTGCATGAAGTGGGAAGTGCAGCGATGCTTTATCTTCACTTCAGCTACACCAAAAATAATTCAGAGATTTTCCACCCTGTTTCCAGGAGGCACTGATATCCAAAGCAATTTTACCAAGACAGCATGAAAGGCTGCAGCTTTAACCACTGCCCATGAAGCTACCCGACTCATGTCAGTGGCCCCTCTGTATCAGGGGATGGGAGTTAATTCCGAAATAATTCCCCCCCAAAACAAATCCTCCAACTCCCCTACTCTCTTCTCACTTCCTAGCAGATAAATTTGATTCAATTTTAAATTTAAAACCTTCTTTTCAGTTTTTACACAACGAATTTATTTTCACTCATGAGCTCCCTATGAAAAGAGATCTGTTTATTTTCCCTTTATACAGCAGAAGTTTAGAGTTGTGGATTCTATTTAGCTGCAGCTTGCAAACAACATCTCCATCTCCTTTCACATACTATTTACATGTTCTCAAAGGACTGCTTTCAGACAAACCACACAGACATCATCCTCTCTGAAGATTGTGCATTTCCATTTCAATGCCACTGCCATTTCATTCTTCATCTTGGGTGTCTCTTGTAGCAAACACAGCTTCAGTGCTGTTCATCTTTGTCCTAAATGTTATGAGTTGTAGTTATTCTTTGCAAATACAGCGATAAATTTTGAATCATGAGCAATCACTAGCAATAATTGTACCAAAAGAAATCCCAGTAAGGATTTTCCTTCTCATTACACAACATTTCACATTAACCGATTTGCAGTCACTGCTCTGTGAGTCCTCAATAATAGAAATTAGATTTAAGATAAACTGTAGGAGTCTGAAGACTGTGTGAATAGAGTTGCTTTTGAAAGCAGCCAGCTTTAAACTAAGAACATCAGGCTGTAGGGTTACATAAGTCAAAAATTTAAATCTGGCTCTTCTCTCTCTATTGTTCTCTATTCCTAAAAGGAAAAATGTTCTTCTGAAACCTAAAGCAGGGACAGGAGAGCCACACCAGCCAAACAACGTCATCAAAACCTTAAGGTTAGTCTTCCCACAGAACGCTCTCAAAGCACGAGAGACAGAACACTCCCTGGTAAAATAAGTTGTCTCTCTTCCTTCAAACTTCAAGAGGTTTTAGAGAAGACCTTATCTGGACAGAAGAAATGCCAGTTCTTTATTAGAGACCATGGGTAAGCAATGTGAACATGTACAACACATATAATGCTTCTACACTGGACTCTCATGTTTGGAAATCTCACGTATAATCTCTGGATGTTCTTCAGGAGAAGGGCAAGGCCTACAGGACTGCTTCCTCACAACGCCTCTTCTACTGTCTTGATTTCTTCAGCACAAAACCTAGAAAACCATGCTCCTTTTTCAAGAAATAGCCACGTTTAAGCCAAAGTTTCCCAGGCGATGTACCATGCTGTGGGTTCAAATACAGCCTGTGACAATCACTACAGCTTGTTCAACTTCTGACACAGTGTCACACAGTCTGTAATGCATTGAATTATAACCCCCATACCTCTATACTGAAAATGTTAGTGTGGAAAGACCAAGAATTTAAGTCTCCAGTAAATTCTAATTCCCCATTTTGGCCACTTAACTTCACATTTACTCCCCTTCAAACTTGCTCTTTTTCCCTTTCCAACTGTTTAACATTTACACTGGGTTTACAACCAAAACCAGCTCTGAAAAAGCTACAGAGTTGTAGAGTTCACGAGTGCCTTCTATTTCCTTTAAACTGGAGGTGGTCACAGTGATGGAGTCTCTCCAGCACCACACTACTACAGGGCAAAAGAAAAAGCAACAAGCAGCAATCTGGGAGATGTTAAACATCTTGATGGTCCTGGGGCTGATGCAAAGCAGAACACTGACACTGAGTGCTACAAATAATTATCACCTATTCTGCAGAAAAGGTGAAAGCTGCTGCACAACCCACTGCCACCACCTGAAGTTACCACGTCTCAAAAGGTGTTTTATTAAGGAAGCACTCTTGGGGCAATACATTAATCCCTCACAAAATTCTTGATGATCTTATACATTTTAATCCACATTTGTGAAAGCCATGCCTCAATTAGGCAAGAAGTTTTTCCTTTCCTCTCCCTTGTAACACATTTGACAAAGCAATCTGGGTACAGTGGTTTCTGTATCATCAAATGGTAAACAACAAATTTCCAAGAGTGTTGACAGAGGGAAAGAAGCCAAAAGCAAGCCTCATTGCCTTTTAATCAAAAGTGAAATACCACCTCTGTCACAGATCTTAGCTAGAACATGCAATGGGCATGGAGGCATCTGTCAGCAGCTCCCATCTGCTAGTGGAGATTTATCTTACCCTTGGTTGCTCGTCAAGTGTTCAGATGAGCATATCCAATGAACACCCTAAGAGACTTAGGTAAATCAATTGCAAAAGAATTAGGTCTCAGTAACACTGTTTACATTTAAGATCTGCTCTCCGTTCCTTCCCATTCGCATCCTGTACAATAAAGCATAGATTCTTACTTCCAAGGGACTCAAAGTACTGGCTTCAACATCCCTAAAATATGGCTTTAAAATTAGTGAGACAAGCACAACCAGCAAATATTGGTCTCCAAAATAAAAGTAAGTCACCTGAGCAATTACTCAAACTTAGCTCTCACAACTTACCACACTTGCATTGACAGAAACTTGCCTTCTGACTACATACAACAAGAAAAGCTTTCAAATCAAAATATTCCTTGAAATACACTTGAAACCAAACGTGTTGATGCATGTCACAACCCAAACCACACCACTGCCATTCACCTATCCAGCGAGGCTCATGGACTCAAAGACTCCTCAGCATGAACCTATACAGGAAAAATATCAGCTGCTTGAGTTTGGTTCTTTTCAGTGGTGCCCAGTGCCAAGACAAGAAACAGTGCAGACAAAATGGAACCCAAGAGGTTCTGCCTAAACATCAGGAACCATTCCTACATTGTGTAGAGAACTGAGCACTGGCAAAGCGAGGTTATGGAGCCTGCTCCTTGGAGATCTTCAACAGTCACCTGGACGTGGCCTTGGACACCCTGTAGGTGTCCCTACTTGAGCAGGGATTGGACCACATGGATCCAGAGGTCCCTGTCAATTTCAGCTATTCCTGCTCCTGTGGTATCTGTATCTGTAGCACAGGACACACTAACTAGCTGAACACTTAAAGAAAAATCAGAATGAATGAATGAGCGAACAAACAGAAACCACAAAACAAAGCATTACCAGGAATCGTTCCTCTTTTTCAAGCCAGCGTTGATCCTCTTCCATCTCTTGTTGCTGTCTTATTAATCTCTCCTCCATGAGATGTGTGGGTAGAACCTGCCCCATTCCTCGTACGTCCAAAGTGCCTGAATCCTACAAAACAATTTATGCAGTCTTACAGCAACTGGCAATTTGTGAACATTGAAACAATTTGAACACGTGCAAAGTGGTCACATGCTTCTGCCAATACTTTATTCAAGCACGACATAATTAAATTAAGTTGTTTCAATTGCGCCTCTAGAATAAACAGGAATGCTGAACTACCTGGAATGACAGTGCTTAACTAAACTACACAGAGCGTGAAAAACTGCATGGCTGCAAGCAGTAATGGCAGCATATATGACCAAATCAACCAGGAGTAGCTTGAGGCAAACTGAAGATGTGGACACCTATCTGCTCTCTGCTTAGAGAGCAAATGGATTTAGACAGAATCTTTGTGGAACAATAAAAATGGAATGAAAAAAAAAGGAAAATATTGGAGGAGAACAAAAAAAAAATGCTGCAAAGTTAGAAGGGGGAAATAATTCCATGTCCCTTGTGGCTATATGCAGGATCTGGTTAAAGCCCTGAATTCAGTCGTGACTCCCATCCCACTGCAGGAAGGCAATTTAAAAAACACTACTGAAACAACTTGCTTTTCCTATATTACTCTCCAGATATACCTAAGGAATTTTAAAGAAGTCTTTTTACTATACAAAGTGCAACAACAGCCGTATCAGTTCACCATACCTCCATGTTTGGCTGCCACACGGATGCTTCCTGAGGTCGATGGTTCCAGGAATCTGTTTGATCCAAGAGAGAAGCTTGCCCAGGATAGATGCTGCCTGCCATGGCTGGTATCCCATGAGAACCAGAGTAGCCAGATACCTTTAGGGATGAAGAAAAAGAATGTTACAGTAGCAGGACTTAATAATCTTCTTTTTTTTTTTTTTTTCAAGGGAGTAAATATGAGTGACTCAATTCAAGCAGTCATTGTGAGGGAAGAAAGGAAGCAACAAAAGAAGGAAGCCAAGCCAAGATGTGACACAAAACCTTTCTCTAACTCATGTGCTATCTGAGGATGCCTACCCAAACAGCAACGTTAGAAAACATGTTTCAACCTCTGTAGTCAAGAAGATCGAAGTACTCTGACAAACAAAACCAACCCTACTGATACTTTTGGAATACTTACATACACACAGCTCATATTCAAGTTAATAGGAGCTATTCAGACATCACCCTACAAGGCATAAATAATGTACCCCCCACTGTATATTACAAGCTTAAGATCTGAGTGACTGCATGTAATTACTGTGCTTAGCTGCACGGCTTGAAAAATTATCCACAGAAAAATCAAACTAGCTTTAGTAAGTCTGAAATATTCTGATTAAAAAATTAAAACCTCCCCACCCCCCTGGAAAAAAAAAATAAAAATCTCATCTAAGTCTGTTGTATATGGCTGTTGCTTTGAGTAGACCTAAAGAAGGCTATCAGCCAACGGAAAATAGAACTCTTTTAGAGAAGTATTAGGGAGTACAGTATCAACAAATCCAAGGAAAGCGCACCACCAAACCTGTTCTATAATGCAAGTGATTTTATAACACAGCAAAAATTCCAAGCCAGCCCAAGACACTCCATTTCAACAGAACAAATGCTACAATTCTATGATTCATTAAGAAATGCGTAGATATGGCACTGAGGGACGTGGTTTAGTGGGTGTGGTGGTGATGGGCTGATGGTTGGACTGGATAACCTTCGTAACCTTTTCCAATCTTAATGCTTCTATTCTCTGATAATAATCTATAAATAAGGTCTTTACCCCAGACATTCTACAATCTGATAAATGCTAACAGGAGCACCACATTCCTTCAGTAAATATGAAAAGTCTAATGTGCTTCACTTCAGTTTTAAGAACTTGAGCACTACATCAGATATGAAAATATTTACCATCTGGAGGAAACCTACATTTTCTATTTCTATATTTCTATATATATATATATATTTCTATATTTCTATTACTATTTACTATCTGGAGGAACCTCAGTTCAGGGTTTGTTCTGATGCAGAACAAAAACACAGCAGTAGTCAATGAAACTACACAGCAGCAGAAGTGAATCAATCCCACAAACTAAGTTATAAACACTACATTTGAAAAGATACATGCCGAGTTTAAAATATAATACCTGATAGTGATTTGGCTGTACCATATGCTGAGGACTCGGATAAAACCCTTCACTGGACCTTGGGCTGGGGTAACCAGGCCTGCTGGGCTGCAAATACAAAGAAATTTTAAGAGTCAAACAGGATCTAAGCCCACAAAATTATTCTCTGATGAAACAAACATTTACATTACACACAGAAGCTAAAACAAATAAAGAAATAAATCCCTGAAATAAACATTCTACATTATTTACCAGTTAGAACAAAAACAACATAAAAATAAGTTTTCCTCCATCTTCATCTGGAAACAACAGAGGCTGAATTGTTTGCTGGATATTTCAATAAGTAGCATTCACTCTGTCTATTTCTGGGGCTTATTTGATTGCTTGCATGGTGGGGCCCTTCTCTGTGCTGTTCTTAAATCCAAAGAGAACGCTCCAGAAGTCTTAAATCAGGCTTTCAAGTTGAAATAGCATTGTTTCTAAGTTCATAATTTGCATTATGTAAAGTTTTGCCATTTGTTGCTCTGTAACTGTACCCAAAAGCAAATTACTGTGCTTCAATCTGAATACAAATCTAACTTTGTTCAGCACAAATATTTACACGCATTATTCTGAGGACCAAAGTCAGTTCTGACCATTAACCCCCATATAATTCACTGCCTTAAAACGGAAGGTGCTTCTGGCCATATTCTGAACATGCTCTGTTCTGCAACCCATACAGAGTCATAAAAAATTGCTTCTATTAGGAAGGACAGCTAAAGAAAAGCTACCAGATTATTTCCCCAAGCATCATTCTTGTCACTTTCAGCAGAAACAGAATACATTGTATGTAAACAAAGCTGATGTGTAATTACAGGAATACATGAGAAAAATCAGAAGAAATTAGGAAAGCCCAACAAAAGAGAAGCTTTTTTGTCTGCACACAATGAACAGGCTGGCCATCCTTTTGCCAGAGTAAGTAAAGAAATTTCACACTGCTGAAAGAAGCAGTGATGGAAAATGATGCTCAGAACAACTTATTTTTATCTTCAAAGTAGAAGTGTCCAGTTATTTATACTTGATGTTAACCTCTATCACAGAATCATAGAATGGTTGAAAAGGACCACAACGATCATCTGGTTTCAACCCCCTGCTATGTGCAGGGTCACCAACCACCAGACCAGGCTGCCCAGAGCCACATCCAGCCTGGCCTTGAATGCCTGCAGGGATGGGGCATCCACAGCCTACTTGGGCAACCTGTCCCAGTGCTAAAGGTACATTTGCCTTTTTGATGAGGGAGAGTACTGCTGTGTATGTCAGAAGGAAGAAAAAAAACAACCAAAGAGGCAAACATCCCCAATACAAAACCCAAACCTCAACATTCTCTTTCAGTTAAAAGCCACTATCACATTACTTTGGAACTGCAGAATTTTATCATCCCTACATGGAAACTGTTGTCACTCTGTAGTGGGATCTTTTCTATCTAAGGTTTCTAACTAATTACTGGTAAAAGTAATTTCAGAGCACAAACTGTGAGAGTTGTGAGTTATCTGAGAAGGTAAGGAATTGAAGGCTATAAATGAGAGTTTAAGCACATGAAGAACTGTTACAACAAATTAATGAAAGAAAAATCAATTGTCACTATTAATAAAAATCAGATAGTAATTTAAGGTATGCTTGAGATACCCTATGTAAAAAAATTCAACTTGTAGCAGCATCATTAGTACCCATACCCATCTTACACAAAAACACTGTATAAAAAACCCAAGCAACAATTTCACTGCATACACAGTGGAAATATCTTAAAGAGTTGAAACACTAAAAAAGCATGCAGTTATAGGAGAATTAATTTCAATCGTAACTTAACTTCTTTCAAGTTTTGGTTTGGATGTTGCACCTAAAGGTCTGATGATGATCAGTTCTAATTCAGTGCTGCTCATCTACTACCTTAGTTAGAAGTATTCATTTGAATTAGCCCTAAAGCCTCAAGACTGAATACATTCTTAAACAATGCTGTAATAACTATTACTAAGTAGTTCAATGTCAATGTAATAATAAATTTGAACTGTTATTAAGTAGGATATTGCTCTGATTCATGCAGTTCATCTCCTTCTGTAGCTCAGTACATTATCTGGCTATATATGCATCAAGTCCTGGCAGTTTATCTCAGAAGCCTGATCAGTGTGATGGATTGCTCGCCATTCTTAACTCTGAAGTAAAAACAGTTACAGGGTCTGCAATTCCTGCCACAAAGCTATCAAAATGGAGAACCAAACTAGGAAATCTGTCAAGCCACAAGCCAGAGATAGGAAACCAAACAAAAATATGTTTCCTTTTGATGAATGCTAGGGGACGTGCAGCAGAGGTTGCCCCACTATTACTTCCCAAGAGAGGGGTAGATGTGGCACAGAGGGACGTGGTTCAGTGGGCATCGTGGGGATGGGCTGGTGGTTGGACTAGCTGACCTTAGTGACTTCCAGTTTTAATGATTCCAGGATTCTACACTCTGACTACAATCCCTCTGAGTACCAGAGCTTGCACAGAGGGCTACAGGAACTCATCCCAAACCGATCAGGATGCGGAAACTACTCCTCACCACAGTGGTGAGGGAACAAAATTAAATTCTCTGAAATATGGACTCCTTCGAAGAACAAAAAGCACACAAGTTATTGAGAGAAGTCAGTGCTTGGCAGCTGGTGAAGTTAGACTGCAGAGCACCTCAGTGACATCCACAGGACAGACGTGCAATGGAACAAAGATAAGAGTAGTCTAGAACACTTAAGTTCCTTGGACATAAAACTGTTACTTTTTGTTCAGAGCAAGGAAAATGAAAGAAAATACAATTAATTAATTTCAATTCTGATCTGTTATAAAAAAAGCTTTACAGGGGTCTGAAATCACACCAGCTAACATTTCACAGGAGCACTAGAAGAGAGAGAAGAAAGAAAAAGCCTGGAAACATTTTTGTGGCAACTACGGCAGTCTCCTGCAAGTTGAATAAACAAGAATCAGAAAATTGTCAGTGCAAATTATAGCAGAGATCAGCCCTAATAACAGTCTAAAGAGAGCTGGGTCATTTCAGGCAAGCATTAGCTGATGATGACGGAATTGGGCTGAACGCCGTTGTCTTAACCAACCCCTCAAACAAGGCTTGGAAAAAATAAATGGAATTAAAAGGAGCATTATCATTATTTTTAGAAACATTGATGCTTCGTGTTCTGATAGCTACCTTGGGAGGAGCTTCATCTGATCCTCCTGAGTCCCAGGATACTGTGACTTGTCGCCTGGATTCCATTCTCATCCGTTCTTCTTGCTGCAGCTTCTCCTCCTCCAGTATTGTACTAAGAAAAACATACAGTATCTCAGTAAAACTCCTGTTTGATCTCTCACAAACCCCTCCCCAGGGCTCCCACATCTCACAAACTAATCAATATTATTCGACAGAGTGAGAACTGAAAGTCAGAGCTCTCTTATGTACACTGGGTATGTTTCTGAAAGCCTGAGGGAATACATCTGTAGGATTGTCACTGTGCCTTTAACATCAGAAGCAGTATCAGGTTTTTAGAAAGCAGTGGTTGATCTTGTATAAAAATTTCTTTGCATGCTAACATTTCTTTTGATGTGCAATTACACAGAGAAATCCTCAGAGACAATAAATCAAGCACTTACTTGCATGAAAACTTATTTTTCACAAGAAAATATTCTACAGAATTGCTCTAAAGGATCAAAACAAACTGAAAATACTTATTTGCGGAAACTCAACAGAGCTTCAACGCATTGCCATTTTTTTCTCTGTTGAGCAAAGCAGTCAAAAACACTTTAAATACCATGCTTTCCCCTTATATTTCAGCCTAAGCAGGAACACACACAGCAAAGAAATTCAGCAAAACAGAAATATCTGACATCATTCACGCAGCATTTGAACACTCAGGTCAGAAGGCTGCATTTCCAACAAAGCACAAGACAGTAGTAAAACTCGTTTGCTACTTACCACAGTTCTGACTATTAAAAAGACTGTTTGAAGTTCAACGTGATCCCGCTGCCCCCACAGCAGCCTCCTCCCAGCTCTGCTATGTGGATTATTAATGTTGGATATTTGCCATTTAAAAAATACTCAGAATGAAGCTCTGGAGGAGGGAGCTGCCAATTCACTGGAGCTGCACACTACATGGACAGCATGGAGATCTGGGGAGGGCAGAATATTTACATATCCATCTCCCCAGAGTGAGGACAATCCCGTAAAGCAGCCATTGCAGCTTCTTTATCACTCCAGCCTTTTGAGAAACAAAGCTCAGCACTGAGTTTATAATCTGTGCAGCCTACTAAATAACCACCCAGAATTACTCATACAAGGGATGAGATCAACTGCAGCAATCTATTCTAATCTTGGAACTTCACTGCTTATTTCAAGAGTAAATTCCTGCTTGGTTGCAGACTAGAACTCCGCTCTTCCTTCCCCAGCCAAAAGAATCCATGCCCCTTTTTAAAAGCAGCGAAGTCATCTTGTCTCGCTGCAGCTAACCCGCGTCTCTAAGTATGCTGCAATTCCAATCCATCATTGCTGAAGTAACACAAGAATGTGGAACAAAAACAAAATCAGACAAGTTATTTGCAGAAGTCATCCTGATAGAACAGCCACAGAAAAACAGCTACAGCCCAACAGAGGCGACTAAAAGGAAAACCTTTCTACTTTACCACCTCTTTTTTTCCTTCAGAGTAAGGAACAAAATATTTCTCACTTGAACTCACAAAGAATGAGCCAAATCCCACTGCCTTAAGGTAGTTCATGCTTCAAATATTCAGCGTGCATTTTTATGTACCGTGAGAAATCACTCAAGATGTGGCTGTAGTCATAAACTGTGATTAAGATCTTTCAAAAATACCTCAGAACTCAACCAAAAAAACCCCAACAAAACAAAAACTCACCTATACATATATGTGTGTGTGTGTGTGTGTGTGTGTGTGTGTGTGTGTATATATATATATAAATATATATACATTTTTTAACAAAGCTCTTGGTACAGCAGTTGCTCTACTCCAAGCTACGGGAATGGAACAAAAGCCAGCTAAAAGCAGCTGACTACATTTAGAGATGGCTTATTGACAACTTGGGGCCACGGGTACGGTTTGTCACAGCACAGCCCTGATTTTCCACAAAAAGGAATGAAACACTGGTGCCTATTTCATAGAATGGCCTGGGTTGAAAAGGACCACAGTGATCATCTGGTTTCAACCCCCTGCTATGTGCAGGGTCACCAACCAGCAGACCAGGCTGCCCAGAGCCACATCCAGCCTGGCCTTGAATGCCTCCAGGGATGGGGCATCCACAACCTCCTTGGGCAACCTGTTCCAGTGCCTCACCACCCTCTGAATCAAAAACCTCCTCCTAATATCTGACCTAAACCTCCCCTGTCTCAGTTTTAAAACCATTCCCCCTTGTGCTATCACTATCCATTCTCTTAAACAGCCGTTCCCTCTCCTGTTTATATGCTCTCTTCCAAGTACTGGGAGGCCACAATTTGCCTTCATGTTTTACTTATGGCATGCCATCATTTAATGGAATACCATCTGCTTCCACTGTATCACTGGCAATGACAATTTTCTACCAGTGACTTGTTTTAGCATAGGCTCAGCTTTTTGCCTTCCAGCTCTCATTCACACACCATGCTACTCCTCGGCCTGTACAACCACAGGTCCTCTCCTCACACAGTGAGGGAACGTGAGGCAGATCAGTTGCAGCAGTTTGTACTTGGATGCCCTTGACTACTGCTGACAAGAAGAGAATATAAAATAGAAATGCCTCAGAGAAGCATCACTCAAAAAACAAAAAAAAAAACCACACCAAACCACAAGGAATATAAATGACTCATAGAAATGCCTTTGTTTTCACAAAGGGAAGACCAATCCATAGATGGAGTTGAAGTGTGCCAAGAGATATTTTTGACCCTTCCTCAGTACAGCTGCTTAAGTACTCCAAACAGTTTGTTAGTATTCACAGAAGGTCAGGAAAGTCACATCTAGGCATATTTTCCCAAACTACTTGTATTCTTGGCAGCAAAGAGAAGTATGAAGAGAAGAAGCCTTTCTTTTCATATGGCTTCCTGAGCAAATCTGGATCCAAGGCATCTTCTTGTCTAGGCTGAGAAATCTGATGAAAGATCTCAGCTATTAGAAGTTTGTGGAATTGATAAACTTCACCCATTTTCCAAGAATCTCTCTGCTGAAATTTGTCAGGGGGATGGAAAAGGAAATATTTACCAGGAGATCACTGTAGAAGTATCTGAAATACTGAAATGCAGCATTAATTTCCAAAGGCAAAGCAACGTCAGTGTTTTCTCATATGGTGGTGTGGGAACCTACAGTAAATGCTGACCCTTGGAACCAGCAGCTTCTTTCTTCCTCTCTGCGGTCTCTGGCCTTCAGAAATACAAGGCTGTATGTACATGAGCACATTTTCCCACACAGCCCTAATTTAAAAACACTTTCATATGGATTTTATTGCTTATGGTCGCTGTCAAATACCAAAAGGCTCATGAAGAATTTTGAAACCTCCATCATATGTATCAAATATGTGCTAAAATTATTTTTTGCCAGATGTCACAAAATAGCAGAACCCAAACTGCTCCCATTCTTATCAGTTTTGTTTCTTGTCATTATAAGCAACATTTCAGGAACTACAGCAAATGCCTTCACAAGGCTCAAGTCCAGCAAGTTAACCATCTCACTGCAGTCACAGAAACAAGCTTTCAGGGGATGACTAAAGTCATTATTTTACTTTGCTTTTATTTTTTATACTTTTTTTAGGATTATATCTGTATTTAATACATAACCTGCAGCCCACGAATGCTTCTGGGGTCATCACCTCTGCTAATACCTGTGCTTCTTCATCAGTGACCAACAGAGGCCTAATTGATGATCCTAACACAGCACTGATAAAACTGCTTTTGCAATAATTAGCGATAGGTACTAGATATAAAATTTATTCAATGATGCAGTGAAAATGTCATGGCATCATTGAATATGGCATTCCATGGCATGAATGGAAAAGCTCAAAATCAAAATTTAGCTTAAACAATGTATATAAAAAGCAGTTTTAACAGAATTACCAGCCTGAGACAGACAGGGCACCATGACTCACAAGCACAAGCCTGGGAGCTGACCTCTAAGAAAGCTCTTCAATACACTGGTGTAACTGTAGCCATACAAAACTGTAGCATACTGAACACAGCAAAGAATGAACTACATTTAATAATAAATTTAATGTTCCCAGAGATGTACAAGGAAAGGGCGGATGTGGTACTGAAGGATGGAGTTAGTGGGCACGGTGGTGATGGGCTGATGGCTGGACTAGATGATCTTAGTGCTCTTTTCCAACCTTGATGATTCTACGGTTCTACATGTGGAGGAGATGGCATATATAGCCATAGCAAGCATATGGTTATAGCAGAATTAAGCTTATGTAAGTAATTCTGAATGGCAAGGCTGTACAAGTAATATTGCATTATTTGGGTTCATTAAATGTAAATTAAATTTAGGTCTATCATATTATTTACCACATAGTGCAAAATTAATATCTTCTACACATAATCATCAAGGAAACACATATTTCCTGATCGAAACGCTCTGGACTTTCACTCTGGCCCACTAAAGGACAGCATAGCAAGGCAGCATCTCTGCTTTCTGACTTCATCTCACCTTTCTGTTTGTTTTTCCCCAAATTGAAAATGGGAAATGTAGGAAGTGAGGAGGAACTGAAGCTGGAAATGCTTTAGTTTCTGTTTCTGTGCTTGCTCTGAAGACTAATTCATCCTTAGTCACTCTGGACAGACCCAAAACCACAAAATGCCAGGCTCTGTTACTACCCCAATAACATCACATAAATTCTACAGTAATCAGCATCCCACGTGGCACAAGCAACTGCAAATAAAGTTTGTGCAAAGCAGATGTTACTATGAAACACATCAAACAAACTGAGAACACACAAAACATTTATGCTCCCATCAGTACTACTTCAGATGCAGAAGTTTTCGGCCCCCCGCCCCCCCCCCCCCAGAGCCATGGCCTTTGTTATTAAAAAGAGAAGAATGCTGCAGTGTTGCACCGCTGGCTTCAGGCAAACAATCAGTCTGCTCTCAGCTTGAAAAAGCTACCCTGGAAAACATCCAGAATGAGCAGCAGCAACACCACACAGAAAAAGCCACCAGGGAAATGGCTTGTTTTTGCAAGTTCATGGGAATTTGAGATTTGAAACACAATCTTTCCTAGTTGCCTGACATTGCCTCATAAAAGGGAACTGGCAACCTTTCTGATGAGAGGCTGAATCTGAGCAGCACAAAGAATTCCTAAGGACAATTGGGCTGCCTAACTTCTAGGAGGTAAATGTCAACATTTTGGAGCAGAAGAAAATTTTCTGCTTTGGTGAGAAGAGAGCAAAAACTGGATTTCAGCATTGCTGTTGCTCCAGGAGAAAACCTCTTCTCTAACCTTAACTTCAAACAGCTTCTCAGCTTGGACCTGAGGAAAAAATTCTTCTGAGAAAAAGTGGCCAAGCACTGGAACAGGCTGCCCAGGGAGGTGGTGGAGTCACCATCCCTGGAGATGTTCAATAAAAGGGTAGATGGGGCACTGAGAGGCATGGTTGGTGGGCATGGTGGGGATGGGTTGACCGTCGGACTAGATGATCTCAGTGGCCTTTTCCAACCGTAATGACTCTATGGTTCTCAACATCCTAACATGACAGAAAGAGAAAAAAAGAATCCCCGTGTGGTGCATTTTTCATCTAGACTTGGAGAATGAAGTAAGTTGGAGGGGACTCCCAGAGGTGGCTGGTCCCATCTTCTTCTAAAGTTGGGCTTGATACACAGTGAGGTCAGGTTCCTCAGAGCCTTCCTCAGTCAAGGTCTGTAAGCCCCTCAGCATGGAAATTTCACCGTCTCTGGATGACCTGCCTCAGTGTGTAACCACACACCCTGGGAAACGTCTTTCTCGATAAATGATCACATCTTGCCTTTCTGGAAATTGTGACTGTTGTTTCTCACCCTTTGGCTGTGTATTTGTGAGGAAAGCCAGGTTCCTGGGTTCTTGTCCATCCTGTATATCTGGTGATACCCTTCCACTCATTTTTTTTTCCTCCTCTTCCCCTTGTGACTCATGACTCTATGAGTAGTCTAAATTTTCAGCAGCAACCAAAAACGTTCCTCTTCCCTTCCTGGAAGAGGAATTCCCTTCCCTGTCTTACACACTATCTTCCTATCCACATTTTTTAGGACTTCCTTCTCCTCCGTGCCAGCCAACAGTTATCGCTACTTTGTCTGACTGCAAACTAAAAAGAGTATAAAAAAAAAAAAAAAAAAATGAACTGTGACCGAGTACCCAAACCATACTATTGTATCCTATCTTCTCCCTGTAGTCCCTACCCAGCGGCCTATCACTCCTTCCTGTATAGTCAACTCTACACAGTCAGTTCCTTCTGAGAAGGGCTACGTCCTTCTCTAGCTATGTAAATTATTTGGCTACAGATGAGCTCCCAGTTACACACAAAAACTTAAGAAAGAGGAAAAAAACAGAAAATGCAGGTTCAGCTTAGGGCAGCTTATCCAGACAGGCACTCTGAAACAACACTATAAGCACAGTGAAATTGCCTCTCATTGTAACAACTTGTGAATTTTCTTCGAACACAAACATCCAGTGAGAGCATGCAAGATGTTATGAACACAAGTGAAACAAGATGTAAGATAAAACTTAAGAACCCGGCAATGAATCACCACAAATTCAAGAGTGGATTTACAGCTGCACAATACCCACATATTGTTTGAGGCTTATGTTGTCTCAGTAAAACAAATACTGAACGCTTAGAATACCACAAAAGTGGTCATAAATATTAAATATGTCTGTACAATATCTCGGTAATGCTTCAAAGTTTAAATATCACCCCTACACCTTGTCTGGAGAAATGAATATACAGGCACTGAAATAAATCATTGTGAATAAACTAAGAGCGTGAATTCAGACTGGTGTCAAAATCATGTACTCAGACTCACTGCAAGATAAATTGTAAGGCAGTCCATCCCCCGCAAAATAACTTCTAGCTAATTACAATGCATTTCTTGCAACTGCACAACTGTGCAAACAGATGCTTGCTGTGTGCTACCTGTGTTACAAAGTGACTTTCAGCAACACCTCCTCCAAATCTTGTTTGTTCTACTGAAAACGCTCAGACACCTAATTCAAGGCATCTACTCTGAAACTGGACGACTGGTTTACTTATGAAAGAATTGCATTTTACCCCAGAACTGTTCACTGCACGTTTGCCTAGGTAAAAACAACTCTAAATCCCTTCTACCATTGTGCTGGAAAATTGTAGCTAAAACTATAAACAAACATGGAGTTCTTTCTGGCAGAGAAACACGACTGATGTTTCCAACCATATGAATTCACTCCCTAATTTAATTTACTCCAACAGATAAGGTCTGTATTTCCAGAAAAAGTACCAATAACCTGGCTTTCTGATGTTAAAACTTAACACACTCATTTTTAATAGAAAGAAAGTACTGTAATGGAAGACAAAGCAAAAACAAGTATTTCTGAGCAAGGAAATGACCGTTCAGAAGAATAACCCTACCTCAGTTGTGCTTTCAGTTCAGTAAACCTGGGTCGTCTACTAGGGTCGTATGCCCAGCACTTGGTCATAAGGCTGTAGAGGGTGGGAGGGCAGTTTGGAGGCATGGGCAGCCGCTCACCGTTCTCAATCCGACCAATAACATCGTTATTTTTCACTCCCTGGAAGGGCTTCACCCCATGCATCAGGATCTCCCACATACACACACCTACAAAATACACAACAAAATTCATTTTGCCTGTGTGAGCAAAGAAAACCTGTTAAAATAAAAGAAAGCAATCCCTTCCCCCACCCCCAGCACACAAAGTCTTCATTTTAAGAGTGCAGATTCAATAAGAACGGTGACTTAAATAAAGGACAAAAGCCTTCTTTCAGAGCTGTTATGTTCAGCTATACTACATGTTAGAAATGTATCAGTTCCCACAGCAGCTGGCTGGATTTCCACAGCCAAACAACATGATTTCTTCAAAAAAACAGAGCCACACAATCGACCCCTACTTACCAGCTGAGAGCAGAAGGGAGAGATGTGCAGTAAGATTACATATGCACTACCAGCCAGAACCGCTGGTGAAGAAGCACAACACTCAGCTGGCGCACAGCAGCCTGGTTTCACATTTAGATACATTCTACCTATTGTAAATCAGAATGGTTGCTCATATTCAAATCTACTCTATTTTTTTTTGTTAACGATGTAGAATGAGCCGTATTTGCTCTTCCTCTGACTCGCTGCACCCGGCTTGTTCAGACTCGTAGGAGCATTTTCACTTTGAGGGTGATTCAGCCCTGGCATTGATCCAATTTTTTTGTTTTGTTTTGTGCTGAAACCATGCAATAAAACGGCTTCTGTTGAAACTACGTTAAAAGCACAAAGAGAAAAACCATCTGTTGGTTTACTATCAGCCAGTATGTTTCAAAGGCTTAATTCTTCTAACTGGGACTGTGCTAGAGCTTTCTGCATATTACTATAAAAATCACATACCCTCTGCTTACGAGCACTCATATTTCAATTTGCAAAGTGAGTGAACCCTTACTCATCTGTTCTGTTCTTATTTAATGTCTCGTCTTTGTTCCTCCGCACAGCCTATGTTTGTTTTGTCTGTCCACACAAGCAGTAAGCTCTAGCTTGAGCACAGGTGATCATATTCATATAAAAGCTTTCAAATTTAATAAAGAAAGATCAAGGTTTCAGGATACTTCCATTGACCCGTATTTTTCTTTCAGCTTCCGGTCATATTTTCTGAGTGCCACGAGATATGGCTTAGTAGCTTAGTGGGTAGTAATTGTGATGGGAGGACAGTTGGACTGGATGATCTTGTTGGCCCCTTCCAACCCTGTGATTCTATGATTGCAAGCTATGAGGAGCTATCAAAGATAAACTAAATGGGAATTTAGCATTAAAGAGCTGGAAATAGGACAAGATGTAGGCTGATCTAGAGCTTATGAAAACAGCAGAAAAAAAAATAAATCAAGAAAATAGGAGGTGAAAATATAAAGCAAACTGAAAATAAACATGGTATTACGAAAAGAAATAAGAGGAAAAAACAAAAGTAAAAAAAAAAAAAGGGTCTCCATTATGACCTTCCTTTCTGTCAGTTTCTTACTAGAGATGAAAAAGCACTCGCAACTTCAGGCTTACTGAGAAGAAGAAAAACACAGAGACAAAAAAGATGCTGGAAGAAACTGGAATTTTAGAAAGAACAGTAAAAATACAGAGGAATATCTGGAAATTATTAATCTCACAGCGATAAAAATGAAGCATCAAACATTTCCATAGGACACTACAAACCCCACCCTTTGGTATTCACCTACCAAACATCCACACATCACTTGCTGAGGTAAAGCGTCGGAAGTTGATTGACTCTGGAGCCATCCATTTGATAGGTAACTTTCCTTTGGAAGCTACAAGAAGACAAGAAGGCAGGCCATTATTCCTACTGCTGTGCTCAGACATAGACTTTGTTCTCAGGGAAATCATTTAAAGGCCAAACTCATCTCCACTCAATAACTATCAGATTTTGTACATGAGATTTCTGCACCATCTGACCAGTTCTGCAGGTCATCATCTAGAAAGAGGGCAAAAGAGCAGCACTTGACATAAATATACGGACTGATTAAGATCCTTCTAATTTTAAGTCAATTCTTATTTTCAGATGCAGATGACATCAAGTTGGGAGGAAGTGTTCATTTGCCTGAGAAAGGCCCTACAGAGGGATCTGGACAGGCTGGATTGATAGGTTTAGACCAACTGTATGAGTTTTAACAAAATTAAGTGCTGGTCACAACAACCCCACACATCACTACAGGCTTGGGGCAGAGTGGCTGGAAAGCTGTATGGAAGAAAGGGATCTGAGAGTGTTAGTTGACAGCCAGCTGAACATGAGCCAGCAGCGTGCCCAGGTGGCCAAGAAGGTCAACGGTGTCCTGGCTTGTATCAGAAATAGTGCAGCCAGCAGGAGCAGGGAGGTGATCATCCCACTATACTCAGCACTGATGATGCCATACCTCAATACTGTGTTTAGTTTTGGGCCCCTCACTGTAAGAGACATTGAGGCTCCAGAGCGTGTCCAAAGAAGGGCAATGAAACTGTGAGGGATCTGGAGCACAAGTCTTATAAGAAGTGACCAAAGGAATTGGGATTGTTTAGACTGGAGACAAGGAGGCTCAGGGGACACCTTACTGCTCTCTACAACTCCCCGAAAGGAGGTTTTGGCGGGATGGGGATTGGCCTCTTCTCCTGGGTAACAGTGATAGAACAAGACCTAATAGACTTAAATTGCAGAAGGGGAGGTTCAGGTCAAATATTTGGACAAATTTCATCTCAAAAGTCATGCAATCGGGCATTGCAACAGGCTGCCCAGGGAGGTGTTGGAGGACACCATTCCTTGAGGTGTTCAAGAAGAAGGTACATGGCACTGAGGGACACGCTACAATGGTCATGGTGGTGATAGGTTGATGGCTGGTGATCTTAGTGGTCTTTTCCAAACTTAATGGTTCTACGATTCTATGTAACTACTGCAGTTCAGAATGCACCACTACTCAATTTGAAACTGACATGAAATTCTCAGTTACACAGCAGGTATTTTTAAACGGTTTACTTGGGTAGCTTGTTTGGCCTTACAAAACAGAAACAAAAAAACCTCCCAAGAACAGAACAAAATAAAATAGTCGCCAAAGCCTTTCAAAAATATCATGACAAAAATGTTCTTCATCTTCTCTCAGCATTGAAAATTCTAAGTAGCTCACAGTGATATAAGACAAAAGAAATGCAGAAACATGCTGAAGCATACGGGGACAGATAAAGGATGTTTTAAAATACATGACTGTTATTTACACATTTATTAAAGATTCAACTTGTGAAGAGTTACATATTATGAAGCGGATGTAAAACACGACTGCTTGCCACCATACACGCCATCTCTGTTCTGTACCTCCATCTATCAGGCACTGATGTACATCTCACAGCTGCTGGAGCTGCTTAAGCTCAATCTTCCATGCAAAATGGAAAAAAATGTAGTTACGTGCGTTCTTTTGTACTGAATTTTGCCAGTTGAGTGGCATTTGGGGGTATGCAGCATAAAATGACAATGCAAATTCCAACACCTGTTGGCAGTGTTGAAATCACTGCAGCATACTTAGGTTAATACATTACTATTACCTCAGACAGGCCTCAAATGTGGACAACCTTCTAAAAACCATGAAGAAAAATATGAAATAACAAAATTTTACCCAGAAATGTATTTCTAATTTTGCAAGTTAAATTAGACTCTGTGATTCCTTTTTTTTTTTTTTTGATGCACAGGTGTAGGAATTTACTGCCATCTTTTCAATTCTTGAACACTTCATCATTTTACAAAAAAAAAAACAACCCGAACAACTGCTAGACCAAGAAAACCTGGTCAATTCCTTTCGACAATTAACTCAGCACAGTGAAAAGCAGTGCCTTGTAAGATGCACCCAGAGTGCCAACTTACCTTTATAGTAAGTACTGTCTTCCATGTATCGGGATAAGCCAAAGTCACCCAATTTCACACAGTCAGTGGCAGATACCAGCACGTTTCTAGCAGCAATATCTCTGCCAAATAGAGGAGATGCTATTTATAGTTGTTTAGAAACTTATGCTGATAAAATACCATTCGAAAAATATTATTAAAGCCCAGAAATATCAATCTCCTTTGAAAGGACCAAATCACTCTTCCAGTCACAGTTTGGGTGCTCATACACAGAATAAAAAGAGGACTATTACATGTTTGCCTACTGATTCTGAAAAGCTTGGAGAAATACTCTGGTATATTTCATCCTTTCAAGCAAAAAATGTCATTCTAAGGTGTAACTGTCAGTGGTGTAACTCTCAGTGTCAGAGGAAAAAGTTTTAGTTTTGGCAGTTCAAATTAATGGAAAGAATTTGTCAAATTAATGGAAAGAATCTGTCCTCTGCCACTGGAAAGGTGTGGAAATGCTTTAACATCTCTGTCCTGTAAGAAGCTTCTTGAGGAGCCCAGTTTTAGTGGTACTGAAGTGCTTCCAATAAGTGCATATTCTTTTCCTGCAGCATCCTAGGTGAGAGAAGCAGCCTTATTTATTTGTTGATTCTGGATTCTGGCAGGCTGACAGACCTAAATTTGAGCAGCAACCTGAAGTGATCCACTTCTTCCCATTTCAGCACAATGCAATTAAGTTGTCTTTCAGAATTTTACTGCTAGAGTTAAAATGAGCAGCGACTTGGCCAAAATTCAAATATCTGTGACAACTGTAAGGGTCTGTTATTTACAATGCTGCTACATTCATGTAAGCATACACAAATATCCAATATGCATACACACATATACATGTTCAACGTATGCTACATTTCGTTTGCACTTAAATATTTAAACACAGGCAAAATGTTCAAGTTCCAAATGCTGCATGATAATCTTAATTTTGTCAACTGTTAATTGCATACAATACAGGGATAAATTCATCTTTTCTCCCTAGGGAGGAATTCAAAGGTAATAAAGATTTGAAACACACGAACATAGAAATATAGGTTCACTTTTTAGCTAAGCAAGCAGTTTTATGTTATAAACATTTTATTCCCCTTGTTCTTTGCTTAAGAAGCCAGCTGCCCCTTGTTTTACTTCTCTGTGTTTGGAAGATGACAGCTGACAAGCAGTTTGAGAAAATGTTGTAACCACAATGCAACAACTCAGATGGAATTTATTCCTCTGATTAAAATGAGGCACTATCTCCAAGTCAATCTAGGAGTGAGCCAGCAGGTGTCACTCTTGAAAAGGGGGTTACTTTGCTATCAGTCTCAAAAAAGCTGTACTAACGTGAAGACGGACACAAAACATGAACGTAGTGCTGCTATTCATCATAAGCCAAGAAAAATAAACAGGAAAGTTAAGCTTAAAACATAAAACTATACATATCTTAAGCATGCATCTTCACTCAAGCAAACACATCCAGCACCCACAATACTCCCAACCAGCAGTCTGGTGATCTTGCACATTCATTCCCTGATGTTTCAACCAGCCACACACACATAGACATAAAGTCTTACCTATGTACAAATCTTTTGCTCTCTAAGTAAGCAAGTGCTGTGCTAAGCTGGTAAGCGTAGAGGATCAGGGAGGCCAGGTCCAAGCTGAATTTTCTTACTTGCAAAAACGATCTCAACTTTTTGCATAAAGAAGAAAAAAATGGCAGTGGTCAGGATGAAAGATAACAGATTCAAACAGGCTGCATCTCAAACTGCCGAGTTTACAGAAGTGTCAACAGGTCTGCCTATGTTTCAGACTGCATGAGAACAGAAAACCATTGGCTATGAAAAACCATAATTCTGCACAAAAACCAAGCAACTTTTTCTGCATGAAAAATGTTACCTAAACCAAGTAAGCTTTTTTCCATTGCATTCAGGCTCCTTCTGGAGGCTGAGTGCATGTGCTACTGCTGTTCTAGAGACACCTGGTCCTATGAGCTCACCCACTAAGTGTGCTTATTTTTTTCTTAAGTGACTTCAGAGAACAGCAGTGCACAGCAAATCAGAATACAGATAACAGCTGTATTGTTTGAGAAGAATGCATTTCTACCTTTGAATTTGCTAACATATATGCACTTCCCTCAGAGCACCTGCTATCAATGTAGAAATTTTATAAACTACATTCCCAGTTAAATGCAGTTAGGATCTAATAGAAAGTGGCACTAAATGCTGTGTATAAATTAAAACAAAGATTTGAAAAGTAATTTGGACAACAGAAAATAGATTTATGATCTCGTGAGAAAATGACTCCTCTATGGGTTTCTCCTGTCTCTCCTGTTTTGCCTGGTTTTTTTTTGTTTGGTTTTTGTTTGTTTGTTTTGTTTTTAACAATGAATTGCAGGATGGCAATCAAAATGACAGTCTTACAGCATGAAATATATGAAATATTACTTCAGTTCACATTTTCAGATATGTACAAAGGAAATAAATCGATTTTAAAATCTGAGATCTAGTTTGGTATAAACCATTCACCCAAATGACATGAGAATGAGGAAAGCCACCTAATGAGGGTCTCTGTACAGGAGAAGAAATATGATAAATTCACTGTTCCAAGGGACAAAGAACAGTTTTTTTACTCAGGAAAGCTTCCAAAAAGTAAAAAATAATAGTTTGTAACTACTGTCAGTAAGATGTCATGAGCCACGTTAGTCTATGAACAGCAAACCCACTCATTTTCATGTGTCAAGTTCAGTCTTCCAGGAGCAACTCTTCAAGACTGGGCAAGTAATTTGGATGGCTTTATGCCCCCACTTCTACCTTTCCCACAGACTCTCTCTGTATTGCCTCCTTCAATTGCTGCCTTCACAACACAAGCCTCTTTTGCCACCTTAAAGGAACAAAGGAGGCATCACGTAATAATTTCCCTTCCAGAACACAAGTTTGCAAATGCTGTTTAATTGGTATCTCACTATCATGATCTGACTTGACACAGGTCATGCTCTCACCCTGCAAAAACAACCAAAGTTCTTCTGAAAACTATGACTGAATCACTTCGGTATGAGCTGATGCAGATCCCTTAGTGGAGGAGTTAGGTCAAATTTTGCCATTCCTGTGTCTGAGGCCATAATTCTAAGACAAGTATGATATCATGTCTGTCGAGTCTGCCTTTGCCTTAGTGCAGATAAGTGATTTTTTCAGTGTTTGCAAAGCCAGACAAGAGTCCAAAGACACATGAGAATTTTTCGTACCTCTCCAAGCGTACAGAGCTCCATGATTATCCACACTGGGTTTTCTGTAATAACTCCAATGAGCTTCACAATGTGAGGATGATCAAATTGGCGCATTGTTACTAAAAGGAGAAAAAACAAGACTGTATGCTACAGAAAATTTGGCGTTTGTAAGCAATAAAGAAGTTCTACCCTGACTGAGCATAACAAGGGCATGTTGACCTATCAATTCAGTGTATGACCTCTTAACCTGTGTTTTTCCACTGGAAGAAGAGGAGGAAGGATAAAACTGAGTAATTCAATGGCTGAAAAAATGTACGTCAGTTTCTGACACAGACACACAACCTCACGTAACGACTATGCTCGCGTCTGACCTTATTTTCTATGGGCTTAATTAACTTTTCAGTCTCAGCAATGCAGTCAGTAGATTTCATGCACTAAGACATAGAAATGCTTATTAACATTCTGGGAAGGTATGTTTGTTAGGTTAAAAGAAATATCAGTCCTCTGATTGTGTTTTCATCTCCCAACATGCATATGATGAGCATTATTAATTTGATTTTACAGTACTCTCTCTTTTGTATTTACAATGTATAGTGTCAACAGAAATACACAACAATTACTGAACTGGCAAGTCTGCTTTAGTTCACATATGATTTTAGAAGAATAATCCCCTTCCCTCCATAATGTGGCTTTTTATAAATTGTAAACTAGAACAGTAGGCACCTTTTCTATTCTAAAGAGCTCTGAATTCTACTTCTGCACTCTAGTTCACAGCAGTTTTATAACCAATACACCCTGCAATGCTAAGCATCCCAAGAGAAATTCTTGGATAATGCTACTTGTATGACTTAATCTTGTAATAGTTCACTACCATATTTTACTGCACAGAAACTTAAATGGGCCAACTTAAGAACATACTCTTTAAAATATTCATGTGTTATGAAAACTACAGGAAATCAATAAAACAAACAACCCTATCAATATGTAGCTCAAAACATTAATGAAAAGGAATGAAGAATGAATGGTGACATATGAACTGGCCAAGAAAAACTGGTAAAACACTACATAGAATGGAACTCGATTCCTAAATCACTGACTTCACTCCCCAGACATCTGTACAGGCTGGAAGGAGTGGTCCTTGAGAGCAGCCCTGTGGAGAAGGACCTGGGGGTCTTGATAGATGAAAAACTTAACGTGAGCCAGCAGTGTGCTCTTGCGGCTCGAAGGGCAAATGGTGTCCTGGGCTCCATCAGAAGAGGGGTGGCCAGCAGGGACAGGGAGGTGATTGTCCCTCTCTACTCTGCTCTTGTGAGGCCCCATCTGCAGTACTGTGTCCAAGTGTGGAGCCCGCAGTACAAAAAAGACAGAGAGCTATTGGAGAGGGTCCAGAGGAGAGCCACAAAGATGATCAGGAGACTGGAGCACCTCCCCTATGAAAACAGGCTGAGGGAGCTGGGCTTGTTCAGCATGGAGAAAAGAAGGCTGCGGGCTGACCTCATTGCAGCCTTTCAATACCTGAAGGGAGCCTATAAACAGGAGGGGAATCAACTCCTTGAAAGGGTTGATAACTGCAGGACAGGAGGAAATGGTTTTAAGTTGAGGGAGGGGAGATTTAGGTTGGATGTCAGGGGGAAGTTCTTTACAGAGAGAGTGGTGAGGTGCTGGAACAGGCTGCCCAGACAGGCTGTGGATGCCCCATCCCTGGAGGTGTTCAAGGCCAGGTTGGATGGGGCCCTGGGCAGCCTGGTCTGGTATTAAATGGGGAGGTTGGTGGCCCTGCATGTGGCACGGGGTTGGAGCTTCATGATCCTTGAGGTCCCTTCCAATCCTGGCCATTCTGTGATTCTGTCTCTGACTTCCCCTCATCCCTTTGAAAGTAAAGGGCATTTCAGAGTGCATACATTATGAAAAAGTATATACTGCTAAACCAGTTTTCCTGAACCTGGATGAGAAGTAATGGCACACTATTAAAATTTCTTCTCAGAAACAGTGGTAACATATTGGCACAGCCTACTCAGGGAAGTGGTGGAGCCGTCGTCACTGGAGGTGTTCAAGAAACAGGCAGATGTGGCACTGAGGGCCATGGCTCAGTGCTGTGGTGGGGTGGGTTGACAGCTGGACTAGATGACCTTAGAGGTCTTGTCCAACACTAATGATTCTATGATTGCACTTCTAAAATCCTGGTAAATAAAGTGTATATTAAAAACAAAACACCCATTACTTATCTTCAGAGTTCTCTTATACTGGCCTAACTCAATTAAATATACATTTCTTCACTGATGTAAAATGAAGCAGGAATACAGTTATGATTACTAAATCAATGGAGAAGGAATTAGCACAAGTATTTTGATACTTCATATGGCCTTACCAGTTTTAAACATATTTCATTGCTGGAAAGTATCCTCCAGAGACTAATTTTATCCGTGTTACCTGACAAACTCAAAAATTCATTTTGCCATCCAGCTTCAAAAGGTATGAGGAAGATCCAGCTTCCAACAGGACTGAATAACTTGTGAAAAGGAGTAATTTACAAAAAAAAAGTGGAAGATGAATAAAAATCTACAAATCCCATGCAGTTTGTACGGCAGCATATACAAATGCCTCAATGGTAACACACTACTATGCAAGAGCAGACAGGACTGAAGAAACAAACGTTACTCACGGAAATGTCTTTTTCCACACGGAATTACAGAATCACTAATGTTGGAAAAGATGATCTTACCTAGTCCAACTGTCAACCCATTACCATCATGCCTACCAAACCATGTCCCCAAGTGCCACCCCTATCACAGACACTGACT